ACCATTTCTGCGTGATCAGTGGTGTGCGTGTCTCGTGCGAGTGCCCGGGAGGCCAGGGTGTGCAGAGTCCGGGATGGCCACCCCAGCCGGCCAGCTTGCCCTAATCACCGGGGAGGACAGAGGCCTGATGACCCCACAAGTCAATATACCTCTCTCAGCCCCCTCCCCATCCCAAAACAGGGTACCCCGACTGGCCCCCCATGGTCCTTTTTCTATAGGGTTTGCCTGGGACTAAAGGGTTTAGCTTTCCTCTCTCGTTTCTGTTCAATGTTTACACCCCTTTTCTAACCGCTGCTCCCGCACGGCCAGGCTGGGGCTCAGCCCCGCAGCCCCGGACTGTGGTGCCCCTGGCCCCATGCCCCCTCCCCAAACCATCCTGTTCGGCATGTGATTGAACCGACCAGTTCTGCTCCTGTAGCACATGTGTCACCGATGCCTGTGTGTCTGTACCACCCCGTGCGGCACCGCCGGCGGCGGCTACCATGGATGCATGACAGTGAGATGTTTTGCACTATTTTGAATTTTTTGGGCTCTGTAAAAATATTTTATTATAACTGACATTAAAAAGCACACCCTTCTCTGTGGCTACTGTGGGGGTGTGGGAGGGCAGGCACCCAGGGGCTCTTCATCCCCACTCCCACCCCAATGCAGCAATTGCACCTTTAATTGCACACCACGGATAAATAGCCCAGGGACGCTGCAGCAGCTCTGTCCGTGCTCAGCCTCCCTGAGGGCTGCTCTTCAGTGCACCCACCCTTTGCAAACCCAAGAGCTTCAGGACAGGGGTTAAATGGAACTGGGACAGACCTGTCCTGAGAAGTGACACTCTATTATCAACCACCGTGCTGCAAAGTCCCAGGCACAGAAGTGATTAGAGACTGCCAACACGGCCCCACCAAGGGCAAACCCATGCCTCACTAATGTAGTGGCCTTCCACAATGGGGCGACTGCATCAGTGGACAAGGGAAGAGCTACGGATATCATCTACCTGGACTTCTGTAAGGCTTTTGACACAGTCCCCCAAAACATTCTTGCCACTAAATTGGGGTGACATGGATTTGATGAATGTGGGGCCCTGATGCCCTACAGAGAGACCTGGGGCTTTTGCCGGCCTTTTGCTGGGGCCTGGGCAGGGGCCTGCTTCTCCCCAGAGCCCCGGGGCTTTCGCTAGTCTTTGTCGGGTTCCGGGTGGGGCCCTGGTGACATACAGACAGCACCGGGGCCTGTAGGGCTGCTCTTCAGTGCACCCACCCTTTGCAAACCCAAGAGCTTCAGGACAGGGGTTAAATGGACCTGGGACAGACCTGTCCTGAGAAGTGACACTCCATTATCAACCACCGTGCTGCAAAGTCCCAGGCACAGAAGTGATTAGAGACTGCCAACACGGCCCCACCAAGGGCAAACCCATGCCTCACTAATGTAGTGGCCTTCCACAATGGGGCGACTGCATCAGTGGACAAGGGAAGAGCTACGGATATCATCTACCTGGACTTCTGTAAAAGGCGTTTGACAGTCCCCCAAAACATTCTTGCCACTAAATTGGGGTGACATGGATTTGATGAATGTGGGGCCCTGATGCCCTACAGAGAGACCTGGGGCTTTTGCCGGCCTTTTGCTGGGGCCTGGGCAGGGGCCTGCTTCTCCCCAGAGCCCCGGGGCTTTCGCTAGTCTTTGTCGGGTTCCGGGTGGGGCCCTGGTGACATACAGACAGCACCGGGGCCTGTACCGGGCTTTGCCAGGGCCTGGGCAGTGCCCTCCTGCCCTTTAGAGAGCCCCAGAGCTTTCGCTGGGCTTTGCTGGGATGCGGGCAGCGCTCTGCTGCCCTCCAGAGAGCCCCAGAGCCATCACCAGGCTTTGCCGTAAGCCTCAAGGGGGCCTGCAGCCCTCCAGAGTACCCCAGGGCTTTTGCCAGACTTTGCCAGTGCCCTGGCGGGGACCTGCTTCTCTCCAGAGTTCCCCAGGTCCTTTGCCAGGCTTTGCAGGCACCTGGGCAGGGCCCTGCTGCCCTCCAGAGAGCCCCTGGGCTTTCACTGAGCTTTGACAGGGACTAGGCAGGGTCCTGAGGCTCTCCAGAATACTCTGGGGCCTTTGCTGGGCATTGCCGGGGCCTGGGCGATGCCCTGTTGCCCTCCAGAGAGCCCCAGGGCCGTCGCCGGGCTTTGCTAGAATCATAGAATGGTTTGGGTGGGAAGGGACCTTTAAAGATCATCGAGTCCAACCCTATCCTGGCTACTGGGAGCTCTTGTCTTTTCCCAGTGATCCCTGATGGATACACCCTTTCTCGAGGTTTTCTGGATTAATGCAGCACTGTCCCTAGCTTTAATCATCAATACTGGGGCTCCTGTGCTCATGTGAAAAGAGAGAGAATAGCTATCATTTACCACTAACGGTATACAAAGGCTATTACTAATATTTATTCCAAAATGTTTGGCCACTTGGGATGCATTTGTCATGGGAACTCCCTGGCCGGGGGGTTGGGAGTTCCTCCATTAGTTCCCTGATAGTGGGGACAATTTTATCTAGCACCTTCCCAACATCCAGGCCATGGGTGCAATCCCTTTCACGATTATCCCATAGTTTCTGTGAGGTGGGTGTGTTGTCCCGAAGGTGGGCTTGTTACCCGATGTGCAACGCCAATTTACACACCAAGGCGAGGTATTTCCATTTCTTTTATTCTAGTTGGCGCAAAGTAGGGAGCTCGGTGGTAGCCCACAAAAGACTGGCTCTCCGATTATCAAAACTTCACACTATTTATATTCTATCTCTTATTGGTTAAATGATTCTCTCACTTCTTATGCTAATTAGCCCACACGCTCAGTCTTTCTCTTCTTTTGGGTTAGAGGGTTTCTTGAGTCGGTGGGCCGTGAGTCGGTGGTCGTGATCTCCCCTTGTCGGAATTAACTCTCCTTCACCTTTAGTTTCACGCTTCAGCTGTTGCAGCCAAGTTCCTGTGGTTTTGCTGATAAAACAAGTTACCTCCTAACAGCCTGGTTTATACAAGCCAGGATGCCCTGTTTGTCCAGGATGTTTCTGATTTATCTCCCTTGAGATTAGATGCCATGCCAAGGATTTACTTCAAACCTCCCCGGCCTTGAATAGTTAACAAAGCACTGGACAAAATAATTGCAACATTAATCAATGGCAGCCTCCTGCAAACTTACATCAGGTGTGGGGAGCCTGTCGAACTGGCCTGTCATAAATCCTGCTTCTCCCAGGAGGCCCCATAAACATCTCCGTTCTGGGTCTCACTCCTGTCGGTCAGGGTGTCCTTTTACGTCAGATTGATTGGTTTTAATGGGGAGTTTTTGAATATTTTGTCCCTTACTCTTATGCCTGGTCAGGGCCCCACTGCCCTCCAGAGAGCCTCAGGCCCTTCGCCAGGCCTTGCCGGGGCCCACAGGAACCCTACTTCTGTAAAGACTGCCCCAGGGCTTTTCCCAGTCTTTTCCAGGGCCTGGGCAGTGCTCCGCTGCCCTCCGGAGAGCCCCAGGGACTTCACCTGCCTTTGCCGAGACATGCAAGGAGCCCTGCAAGGAGCCCTGCTTCTCTCCAGAGTGCCCTGGGGTATTGGGTTTATGTGGCAAGGTTTTTGGTATCTGGGGGGGCTGCAGGGGGCAGCTTCTGTGAGATGCCAGAAGCTGTCCCCCCATGTCAGTTGGAGCCGATTCCAGCCGGCTCCAAGACGGACCG